ATAGGTGTTAGATATCTGTAGTGGATTTTACCTATTGCACACGGGCTGCTGCATTCTGCACAAATTGCAGTTTTTAAATAGTCTTCAAAGGCAGCCCCATGTACAGCACATTGCAATAGTCCAGTTTGGTTTAGGTTATATCTGGCACACTAACCACAGCTGGTGAAGCCCTCTCCCCCCACCTCCATCTGCAAATCCAGCAGTAGCTATGAGTTTGGGGTTTTATTTACGTGTGTGTGTGTGTGTGTAGTTATTGAAAGCTTTAACAACAATAAGAACTAATACAAATTAAAATAGAATGAAAGAGAAAGGAAGAAATAAAAGAAAAAGCTAAAAGTGCAAAAAGAAAGACAAAAAGAAAAACCTTTCCTCCGTTGTAGGTATTGTCAGATCTTTCCATCTTTGTGCATACAATAATCTCGCTACACTTACCATATATAAAAACAAGTGTTCCATGGCTCTTTTCTAGCTGTTTGTCCATCAGTCCCAGGAGGAACGGTTCTGGTTTCAATTGACTATTAATCTTTAAAATCCTCTGAATTGTTGTATGTATTTGAGCCCAAAATTTTCTAGCTTTTTTACACACCCACCCAGCATGATAAAATTACCCTTCTTGTTGTTCACATTTCCAACCTAAATTTGAAGTACGTACCTTTATATATTCTAGATAATTTTTCTGGTGGCGTATACCATTGGTACATCATTTTATAAAAATTCCCTTTTAGATTATAACATAATGTAAATTGTTAAGTTCCATTTGTATATTATAACCAAAGTCTTTAGGTATCATATATTCTTTGACCTGTTCTTCTTCTGTTTCAAATTTCAGTAAAAGGTTATGCATTTTAGCAATTACATGTTATCATTTTTACACAATTCCATTTCAAATTCTGTCTTACATTGTTCAATACCATGAATTCTTTTATCTACTTTAAATCTTTGATAACTGTAAGTAAGAAAATCATTGACAGTTATGTCCCTCTGTCATCAGGTGATCTCTTGATTTTATTTTATATTCCCCTTGATAAAATTCTAGTATCTCACGATATATTAACCATTTATCTTTGCATATTATTTTTCGTCTGTAAGATGCTTCTTGTGCTGAGAGCTATAAAGGTGTTTTCAGGCACAGCCTGGTTTGTATCTATTCCATATACTTAATATGGCGCATCTAACATAATTATTTTTGAAATTTACATTAAACTTGACTTTATCATACCACAAGTATTCATGCCATCCATATCTCAGATAATGTTCTTCTAACTCTAAAAGTCTTTTATTTCTCATCATACCCATTCTTTCATCCAAATAAAACGACAAGCTGCAACATACAATTTCAGATTAGGTAAACCCAGTCCTCCTCTTTCCTTTGCATCTTGTTAACACCTTATATTTAACTCCTGTTTTTTTCCCTTGCCATACAAACTTAGTTATATCTTTTTGCCATTGTTTAAATGGTATATCAGTTGTCAAAACAGGTATTGCCTGAAACAGAAACATCATTCTAGGCAAAACATTCATCTTTATCACAGAAATTCTCCCCAACAGTAACAATTGTAGTTTCTCCCATCTTAGCATGTCCTTTTTAATTTCATTCCATATTTTAACATAATTGTTATAAAATAACATATAATTCATATTTGTCATAGTGATACCCAAATATTTTACTTTTTTCTCAGTCTTGTCAAACTGGTTGTTTTCTCCACCAGTTCTGTTTGATCATCTATTTTCATATTTTTGGTTAACATCTTCATCTTCTGGTTATTAATCTTAAAACCTATTATAGTAACTGTGAGTTCTGGAGGACTCCCAATGTGTAGGGAGTGGCCACTTTAAACAGGGTTTTGGAAGACAACCTGCTGATGCAATAAAGATAGAGAATTACTGACGCTTCACCTCCCTTAAGGCTAAAACATGAGCTCATACCCATGCTTGGTCAAGTTCATTTCAGTTTCCATCTTCCTCCACCAACACTCCAGGTGTTGCTTCCCAGTAAGTTCCTGTGAACTTCTAAGTAGCCCCCACTAAGCCAAGGAGCACTTTGGATTGACAAAAAAAAAGAGGCCCTCAAACAATCACACCAAAAGCACTGGCCATCTCCTGGTTCCCCAGTTTAACCAGGCATTCAACAGAACTGCCTGTCTGGTCACTGGGAAAATCCCCAAGCATTCACTGGAATCCATTAGGCTCCATAAGGCACCTGAGTGGACCATCTAATCAGTCCTCCCATCCAGTTGAGGTCCCAGGTGGTGATCAAGCTCATCTCAACCAGGAACAGACTCAGAGGAATGTCCTCCACCTTTAGATCAACATCAACTGCTCCGAGGCAAAGGGAAGGTCTAGCATGTGCCTACCTGTTTGTATCAGGTCAGAGGTACCTGGGACAAGCACATGGTTGCCATGAAGGCTATGAACTTCTGAAACTGCCCAGATCCTGCCCAGAGGACATGGAGGTTGACTATATGCCAGAGCAAGTGAATGAACACAAAATTGTTTACTCATGTAATGTGGTTGATTGTTTGGAGTTCACTGGGGCTAAGGAATAGTTAAAATACCCTGCACCCTGGAAAAGTTCTGAAATGCCCAGAGATTGAAGCAGAGAGAAACCATTCTGTTAAAGGTTTACACCCACTGGTGAGGGGCAAACTACCACCGCCCTCGTGTGCACATACAGTTCCCACTTCCAGCAAATTACCTTCTTAGTTACCAAGTTCTCCACTGATAATGAAAAGAATAAGTGTTATGAGTAGAACAAATGTGATTTTAACAAATGAATAATAAACAAATGGGAGAAACAAATGTGTAACAAAAACAAAGGAAATAACAGTTTGGAGAAGATGTTCTTTCCCATTTTAGAGAGAAAAAGAGAAGGAAATGGTGCCTGGACAGGATTAGAGTTGCTCAGTCTTTGTATAAGACAAATCAGTTCTGTACAAACTGGAAGGGTATTGTAATGAGCAGAAGGAATAACCTTGAGGAGCCAAGATAATAGTCAGATAAAAGAAAATAAATGTAACCTGAGTGAACATCTCAGACAAGACGCTCCCTAGTTCTCATGAAGATGGAGGGAGGGAGGGGGAAGTGCATTCAGACTTGCAAGATTCTGTAACTATAACCTTATAATAAAAGTAGTATTAGCACGTGTATCTTTGGTTTCCAAGTTTGTTCTACTTTGGAGGGCTGACAGGCATTTTGCCCCATCCTCCTCCTCTTTCTAGTTCCTCTTTTAAGAGCTGGTTTAGAAGTTCACAGGAAATGGGAACCAAGTTGATCCTAGGTACCAATAGTCTACAGCAGTGTTTCTCAGCCTTGGTGACTTTCAGATGAGTAGACTTCACCTCCCAGAATTTCCCAGCCAGCATGGCTGGCTGGGGAATTCTGGGAGTTGAAGTCCATCCATCTGAAAGTCGCCAAGGCTGAGAAACACTGGTCTACAATAGGAGGACGTGTGAGGATGTGCTTCAGTGCACTTTTCTCCCTTTTCCCAAAAAAACTATCAACAAGTGGATCATACCATTTCACTCTAATATGGTAGATTGGCATTTGTGCCAGGGATGTATTTGGTGTCCAGGCTTCAGGAGGTGGCTGTCAGGGTGGAATGTTCTGGCAAGAAAACTAGTATGTCAAGAAGATGTTTTTTCCCCATGATGGGCCATGATCTACTTCTCTGCCTTCATAAGAAGGAGATCATACCAGTTTCCTGAGGTTCACATTGGGAGTAGAAAGAATAAGTCATGACATTTTGTCTCCTACAATTCTAAAGTGAGTCTGAAAAGATGAATGTGAATGGAAGATCCTCACCGTGTACACCCTTCTCCCTTTGTAAATGGCTGTCTTCTTTCCCTACCACCCCTTCTAGAATTACCAGATGCATTCGGGTGAAGTCAATGGTGGGCTCCCCTCCGTCCCTGGATTTTCTTCAGCCTCCACTCAGTATGGAGTGTCCAGCCACACACCCCCGATTGGTGGGACAGAAAATGTTATGGGTAAGTATTTTGTCTTTTTCTCCAAAGCATTTAAGTGTTTTTTTGGGTTTTTTTTCATTTTAAGGGTAGAGGTGCCACAGGAACTTGCAAAGTTTGGGAATCCAAATTGGAGATTTCTACAAAGAATAGATATATTCATGAGCAGATAGCTAGCAAAAAAACCTCTCCCCACTCCTCTGATTTAAGCCAAGGATAGTTAATAAAATATTATGTTTCATGGCAGACAGGGTGGGAGGGGCCAAAATAGCAGCCACAACCATGCGACGGAAGCCAACACCACCTGTGGACACATATTTGGTCACAAACCGGCTTGTGATTGAAAACAGTAGTTCCAATAGGATTAAAAGAAGTATGTTTTTTAGTGATCTTTATGCAAACCACAACAGGGACACCTATTTTCCCCATTAATTAAGTCAGTGAATGCAACAAAGTGTGTGTGAAAATTTCACCTTCTCCCACTTACACCAGCCATATTCCCTTCTTCTAGATGGGGTACAAAGGTGATGTGTAGTTCCCGAAGAAAACAATTTTGCCCACTTCTCTTGTAGAAGCTGAGGCTTTTGATAGTCCTGCTGACCTTCCTGCTGCCTCCAAGATCACAGGAGGTGCACTTCCAAAGGATCAACAGCAGGAGAAGACTGTTATGTCAGCTTGTGGTTAACCCGCTAGGGCACCTTATTGGCCTCTAGAGGGACATTTTGGCTGCTCTAACAGAGCCTTCCTTCTATTCTTCACCCCCTCCAACTTGTGGTTTCCACAGAGATGAGGCAGACCTGGGCACATTCTTAAGTGAGACTGTTGAAGTCCATGGGAGTTTCAAGCCCTTGGGTGGATTTAAGACTCAGAAGCTTGCTGTGGGGCGCCAACTATGGTTGGAGGAAGAAGGATGGGGCCGGAGTAACTCTGGATGCGTCTGCCTCCTAAACTTACTCCCATGTAACCTGCTTTGGGTGCACCACCACCCTTCTAAGCAGCTTCCTCCCCTTCTCGTGTCTTCCTGGCACATGAAGGTTAATCCCTGGGAGTGGCTTGGGGCCAGGGGAGCCAAGCAGGCGGAAATAGATCTATTTAGCTTTAAGCCCCTGTCTGGGGAACGTACTCAGTAATGCCTCCCCTCTTTGGCAGCCAGACATAGAATCTTCATCCCTATTACATGCAGACTTGGAGACTTTTGTAATCCTCCTGCCCTCCCCCCACACACTGCTGCTTGGGGAGGGGAGGAAAGTCTAAATCTCACCCAGATTCATCCACAAGATAACTCAAAATAATTTTTACACAGGGCATGGAAGTTGGTTTACTTTAAGGGAGTGCACATTTTTAATTTAAATCAACTGCAGTCATCGAGGCACGTCAAATCACAGAGGCAACTGGGTAGCACAAATACAGAGATCCCTGGGAGTTGCTGTTACTAACCAAGGATTACAAAGGGGGGATAATGTGGATCAGGGGAGAGGAGCTGGGGATGGTGGTAGTAAGGTGGTTTCAGATCAAGGTGGGAAAATGCTGGGGGCTCAGGTTGAATCGAGCACTCCAGTCGCCTCGCTGTCTCATGAACCTTCTTCTTAGTGTGAATTTCCCAGCAATCAAGAAGTTAAATAAAGAACTGCAATCCCTTTGCAGCAGTCTCAAACTCCTTCTGTAAATTTCAGAAAAGCGGCTGGTGGCGGAGAGTCAATGAGAGGGTTTGTCGCTTATCAGCTTTACTGGAAAAGTGATGTGGCACTAGGTGCCAAGTCACCAAGCATCATCAACATCTCCTCACACATCCTGTCCACCCTGGTCATAGAATCTGAGTGGCAAAGGGCCACTTAGAGCATCCAGTCCAGCTTCCTGTGCAGGAGGGAAGTTTTAGTTAAAGAATGAGAAAGAGCACATCTCTCTCGTGTTTTGCATGAGGCATTTGCATCCATCCCATCCCAGTACACAAGATAATAACTAAGTTAGGAGGGCATATAAGTAACAGAAATGCCTGTAGATTTTTTGGATGATAAGCAGGCACTACCTGTGCATCTTTGCCATCCTTAGGACTAGCAGTTTGGTCATTCTTGAGTGCAACTGAAGTTCTTGTGAAGCTGAATCCTTGTGGCCAATGTTGCATGAGAATACTCCTAGCTTTCTGCCACTTGAGGGGGATGAAGGGACAGCCTGTATTTGGGGCATGGAGTTGATTGCAAATGCTTCCTTATTCAACGTTTTAGGGAAATAGGTAGTCCTCGCTTACCATTTGCTTAGCGACCGTTCAAAGTTACGACAGTGCTGAAAAAAATAACTTTATGGCCCATTTACGACCATTTACAACCTTCACAGAGTCCCTCAGTCATGTGATCACCATTATAATCAGTATGTGTTGTCCTGCGCCTGACCTGTGTTTTTTTTCCCCCTTTGCAAAGCAGATTGATTGGAGAGAAAGGAATTGCAAGAAAGTAAGCTGTTTGCTCTTCTACACATCGAGAGCAGTGCGATCGCGCTGGCAGCCCAGGGTCGGGAGCCATGGGCATGCTGCACTAACAGCTTACAGTGCTCTCTTGAAATCTCATCTCCAATCTCTGCTCTGCGGGGGGTGGGGGGAGCAAGCAATTTCTGTAGGCCAGTGTTGTCCAAACTTGGCCACTTTAAGATGAGTGGACTTCAACTCCC